TTTCTGTCTCCTCGTCATCACCATCATTATTGTTTATGTCTCCTTGTCATCACCATCATTATTGTCTCTCTCTCTCCTCTTCATCACCATCACCATTATTATTTCTGTCTCCTCGTCATCACCATCATTATTGTCTCTCTCTCCTCTTTATTACCATCACCTGCCTCACATTTTCAGTGTTCTCACCTTCTCCTCTCTAAGCCTTGATGTTGTCCCAGTTTGTCTTGTGGGTTTAATACAATAAACTACTGTAGTTTCAGGTGAACGAACCCCTTCAGTACGATGACTTTTCCATTTTAGAAAATCTCTTAACCCCTTGAAAACGATAACTTAGCCCCATTCAATATGATAATATAACCCTTTCATTACTATTATTTAACTCCTTCATTATGAGAGCTTAACCCCTTTGGTATTATGAATTTACCAATAAGTAAGATGTATTAACTTCTTCAATACAAGCACTTAACCCCATCTGTAGGATGGCTTAACCCCTGTAGTACGATGACTTAACATCCTTGGTATGATATCCTATCTCTTCAGTATGATGACCAATCTCCTGTAGTACGAAGTCTTAACCTCTTCAGTATGATGACCTATCTCCTGTAGTACGAAAACTTAACCTCTTCAGCATGATGACCTATCTCCTGTAGTACAAAGTCTTAACCTCTTCAGTATGATGACCTATCTCCTGTAGTATGAGGACTCAACCTCTTCAGTATGATGACCTATCTCCTGTAGTACGAAGACTTAACCTCTTCAGCATGATGACCTATCTCCTGTAGTACAAAGTCTTAACCTCTTCAGTATGATGACCTATCTCCTGTAGTATGATGACTTAACCTCTTCAGTATGATGACCTATCTCCTGTAGTACGAAGACTTAACCTCTTCAGCATGATGACCTATCTCCTGTAGTACAAAGTCTTAACCTCTTCAGTATGATGACCTATCTCCTGTAGTATGATGACTTAACCTCTTCAGTATGATGACCTATCTCCTGTAGTACAAAGTCTTAACCTCTATAGTATGACGACCTATCTCCTGTAGTATGATGACTTAACCTCTTCAGTATGATGACCTATCTCCTGTAGTATGATGACTTAACCTCTTCAGTATGATGACCTATCTCCTGTAGTATGATGACTTAACCTCTTCAGTATGATGACCTATCTCCTGTAGTACGAAGACTTAACCTCTTCAGAATGATGACCTATCTCCTGTAGTACAAAGTCTTAACCTCTTCAGTATGATGACCTATCTCCTGTAGTACGAAGACTTAACCTCTTCGGTATGATGACCTATCTCCTGTAGTACAAAGTCTTAACGTCTTCAGTATGATGACCTATCTCCTGTAGTATGATGACTTAACCTCTTCAGTATGATGACCTATCTCCTGTAGTAAGAAGACTTAACCTCTTCAGCATGATGACCTATCTCCTGTAGTACAAAGTCTTAACCTCTTCAGTATGATGACCTATCTCCTGTAGTATGATGACTTAACCTCTTCAGTATGATGACCTATCTCCTGTAGTACAAAGTCTTAACCTCTTCAGTATGACGACTTATCTCCTGTAGTATGATGACTTAACCTCTTCAGTATGATGACCTATCTCTTGTAGTACGAAGACTTAACCTCTTCAGCATGATGACCTATCTCCTGTAGTACAAAGTCTTAACCTCTTCAGTATGATGACCTATCTCCTGTAGTATGATGACTTAACCTCTTCAGTATGATGACCTATCTCCTGTAGTACGAAGACTTAACCTCTTCAGCATGATGACCTATCTCCTGTAGTACAAAGTCTTAACCTCTTCAGTATGATGACCTATCTCCTGTAGTACGAAGACTTAACCTCTTCAGCATGATGACCTATCTCCTGTAGTACAAAGTCTTAACCTCTTCAGTATGATGACCTATCTCCTGTAGTATGATGACTTAACCTCTTCAGTATGATGACCTATCTCCTGTAGTACGAAGACTTAACCTCTTCAGTATGATGACCTATCTCCTGTAGTATGAAGACTTAACCTCTTCAGTATGATGACTTCCTGTAGTACGGAGCTTAACCTCTTCAGTGTTGACCTTCCTATCTCCTGTGGTACGAGGCTTAACCTCTTCAGCATGATGACCTATCTCCTGTAGTACAAAGTCTTAACCTCTTCAGTATGATGACCTATCTCCTGTAGTATGATGACTCAACCTCTTCAGTATGATGACCTATCTCCTGTAGTACGAAGACTTAACCTCTTCAGCATGATGACCTATCTCCTGTAGTACGAAGACTTAACCTCTTCAGTATGATGACCTATCTCCTGTAGTACAAAGACTTAACCTCTTCAGTATGATGACCTATCTCCTGTAGTATGAAGACTAGCCTCTTCAGTATGATGACCTATCTCCTGTGGTAGAACTTAACCTCTTCATTATGATGACCTATCTCTGTAGTACTAAGACTTAACCTCTTCAGCATGATGACCTATCTCCTGTAGTACAAAGTCTTAACCTCTTCAGTATGATGACCTATCTCCTGTAGTATGATGACTTAACCTCTTCAGTATGATGACCTATCTCCTGTAGTACAAAGTCTTAACCTCTTCAGTATGATGACCTATCTCCTGTAGTATGATGACTTAACCTCTTCAGTATGATCACCTATCTCCTGTAGTACAAAGTCTTAACCTCTTCAGTATGACGACTTATCTCCTGTAGTATGATGACTTAACCTCTTCAGTATGATGACCTATCTCTTGTAGTACGAAGACTTAACCTCTTCAGCATGATGACCTATCTCCTGTAGTACAAAGTCTTAACCTCTTCAGTATGATGACCTATCTCTAGTAGTATGATGAGCAACCTCCTTCAGTATGATGAGCCCTATCTCCTGTAGTATGATGACTTAACCTCTTCAGTATGATGACCCCTATCTCCTGTGGTACAGGCCTTAACCTCTTCAGCATGATGACCTATCTCCTGGTACAAAGTCTTAACCTCTTCAGTATGATGACCTATCTCTGTAGTGCAGACTTAACCTCTTCCTTTGCAACATGATGACCTATCTCCTGTAGTATTACAAAGTCTTAACCTCTTCAGCATGATGACCTATCTCCTGTAGTACAAAGTCTTAACCTCTTCAGTATGATGACCTATCTCCTGTAGTATGATGACTTAACCTCTTCAGTATGATGACCTATCTCCTGTAGTATGAAGACTTAACCTCTTCAGTATGATGACCTATCTCCTGTAGTACGAAGACTTAACCTCTTCGGTATGATGACCTATCTCCTGTAGTACTAAGACTTAATCTCTTCGGTATGATGACCTATCTCCTGTAGTATGATGACTTAACCTCTTCAGTATGATGACCTATCTCCTGTAGTACGAAGACTTAACCTCTTCAGTATGATGACCTATCTCCTGTAGTACGAAGACTTAACCTCTTCAGTATGATGACCTATCTCCTGTAGTACGAAGACTTAACCTCTTCGGTATGATGACCTATCTCCTGTAGTACTAAGACTTAACCTCTTCGGTATGATGACCTATCTCCTGTAGTATGATGACTTAACCTCTTCAGTATGATGACCTATCTCCTGTAGCACGAAGACTTAACCTCTTCAGTATGATGACCTATCTCCTGTAGTACGAAGACTTAACCTCTTCAGTATGATGACCTATCTCCTGTAGTATGATGACTTAACCTCTTCAGTATGATGACCTATCTCCTGTAGTACGAAGACCTAACCTCTTCAGTATGATGACCTATCTCCTGTAGTATGATGACTTAATCTCTTCAGTATGATGACCTATCTCCTGTAGTATGATGACTTAACCTCTTCAGCATGATGACCTATCTCCTGTAGTACGAAGACTCAACCTCTTCAGTATGATGACTTATCTCCTGTAGTACGAAGACTTAACCTCTTCAGTATGATGACCTATCTCCTGTAGTATGATGACTTAACGCCGTGACCGCAATGACTTTATCCCTTCAGTGCGATAAGTAACATCTCCAGTATGATATTTTAATCGCATCAGTTAGATGACTTAACGCTTTGAGAACGATAACTTAACCTCTTGACTACGATGACAATAATGCCTTAGCGCAATATCATATATTCTAGGAAACAGGTCATCGCACTGGAGGGTTAACAGTTATCATATACCACGATGACTTGTTAACTGAGAACAACGCAGGACGAGACGGGGTTAAGTGACAGGAGTGTGATGCACGCTAATCTTTTATCATTATTGGTATCACAGTCTGCATAAGTGGGCTGGATTTATGCAAGATTACAAAGATTATAAAGTAGATAAAATAAAGTTTATTCAAGCAGCCTTCGCCTTACAGTGAGATAAAGAAATTGTTTGAGCTGTTTGCTGAAAATGTACAAATTCAAGTAATATGACTGCCTTTGTTCTCAGACTCCTCAAATACGAAGTAAATTAGTTTTTTTTATAAGTAAAGGATAGAGTAAAAATGTATAAGGTGTTTACCTCTTTATTATATTTTAATTCTTAGACATAATGTGGCATTTAGAAGATAAAAGGGGAGACTCATATCCACACTTACTGCCATGGTCCTAAGCTGGTCTACCCTGACAGGACCTCAAACAGGCATGTTTACTGCCTCTGATAATTCATAATTTTTGGGGGACAGTAATGCACATATAAACATTTATTTTTTATAGATTTTTACTGCGCGATTAAAGGGACAACAAATGTTACATGAAGTATGACATTATACCTCGTAGTCCATATTTTTTTGTATTTTTTGTAATGCAACTTGTTCATTCGTAAATATATATATGTACAGATATAACTTTATAGGCATTGGCAGATAACAGTTTGTAATTAACTTGTTTTAAGTGTGAGATGTTACTTCTAAATTCTTCTCTGCATCAGAAATGTATTACCTTTGTATTGTTTTGAAGTTAATTGTCAAATGTCGATACATAACCATATTTACCACACGGTTCTCTGAGAATAGCTGATTAAAATATTCATTTCAGTACACTTGAAGGAAGGATCATTGAAACGTTCAAATGTGGAGACAGGAAACTGCCTTGAGGACGTTTGTACAGTGGAATGAGGGTAGCACACACACCACTTCCTGCCGGGGGCCACGCTGGGCTGCGGAAGGTGGCAGATGATGGAGAGCGAGATGGAGGAGGACCACGTGAAGTTGACACTTCCTCAGTTTCAAAGCCGATGCCCTCACCTGCACGGAATCGGTGAGTGCGTCGAGTGCCGTCATCGTCTACCACTGTGTAAGTGCCACGGACATTGCCGTCGGCGTCTGCGCTCTCTGAGCGTGAATATTGCTCCGAGTCAAAGGCGAAGTTATAGGAGGCATCAGCGTTGGAGTCAGCGAGAGGGTCGACGAAGGGGACCTCTTGAACAGGGACGATTCTACCTGTTGGTTGACCGGAGGGTGCTCCTGGAACCGCGGGTCCTACAGGAATGTGATCACCCTTAGCAATAAATCCTGTACGGGACCCAGCTTCATATTCAATAGCTCGTCGCTGTCCATCATCAGCAACAAAGTCGAAGTTTCCCACCACGTTGTTGTCTCTGTCACCTGATTCTGCTCGTGAGTGACTGGACGTTTCGTAAGCAAATGAATAACTTCCGTCAGGTGACTGTTGGCTGCGAGTATTGGCAGGTTCGAACTGACCTGTGTATGGGCGTGCTGAGGGACGTGAGGACGGGGAGCTGTACTGAGTTTGTGAGCTTGTGAAGCCGGGAAGACGTGGAGCAGATGGTGAGCGAGAGAAAGTTGGGGTGCTAGAGACGGAAGAAGGTAGGGACGCTGATGGACTGCGGTAAGGGGTTTGTGATGGTGAAAATGCAGAGGATGTAGTTTGAGACCCGGAGTGTGACTGTGGTGCTCGTGGAAGGTGATCGCCTCGAGCCAGGAATCCCGTGTCACTTCCAGCTTCGTAAGTGACACTGCGTCTGACACCGTCGTCAGCCACGAAAGAAAATTTTCCATCAACATTGAGGTTAGCGTCAGCAGACTCAGAACGTGAGTGATCACCAGCGTCGAAGGAAAAAGAATAAGAAGGATCTGAGCTTCCAGTACTTCTTTGGAAAGACACGGGCCCTGCTGGGGTGCCTGAATGTGTGCTGAAGGGACGAGATGGAGCCCCTGAAGCTGTAGATGCTCTGAAGGAGGCAGAGGATGCTGGAGAAGTAGGTCGCAAACTAGAAGAAGGGAATGCTGCAGGAAAAGAGGAGAGTCTGGTCGCTGCTGGAGTGGACGCTGGATCTTCTGGTGCCTGCGGTAGATCGTCACCCTCGACAACAAAACCAGTGCCACGACCGGCTGTGTAAGTGTAGGTTCGTGTGCGACCTTCTTCGTCAGTGTAAGTGTAAGAGCCACGCACATTACCGTCTGAATCCACTTTGTTCGCTACGTGTCTGTTCTCAGCGAACTGGAAGCCTGCAGGCATCGGCGTTTGGATCAGCAAGGGGGTCGGTGAATGAAGGGCGAGCACGAGCCTCAGCGTGGGCAAGAGCAAAGTCAGGATGCGGGACAGGGAGATGGGCACCCTTGGGCTGGAATCCACCCTCATCAGCTACATACTGGAGGTGAATATTGTTGCCTTCAGGGTCCCTGTAGCCGAAGTTTCCATCTACCTGACCAACCCTGGATGAACGAGCACCCTCGAAGGCTCCCTCACCTGTGTCATAGCCGTACTTGAAGGTTCCATCCGCGTGTTGAACATAGTACTGGGAACGTCGTCCAGTGCCCACATGCGGAATTTTGTAAGCACTTTCGTCGGGCCGAGGCGAACTAAGCGTGCTAACCGCTAGTGCGGACAACAGCGCCTGCAACGGAGATTGATATTAATCATATTCTGTTCATAAAAGATAATGCATATATAAAGTGAGAGGAGACTAAATAATGAAT